TTGGAAGAGCGAACGGGTCATCGTATCCCGTCAAGGTCCCCACCTCCGCTTGGCGGGCGGCGGAGCCGGTGGGTACCGGGGATGGCGGGGGAGGGCTCTCGGTTTCTTTCCCCGGTGCGACGCCCGTGTTTCTCTCTTTCTCCCCATAGGGATCCTCAACTTCTGTGCCAATAACTACCTGGGGCTCTCCAGCCACCCCGAGGTGATCCGTGCGGCCGTGGAGGCCCTCGAGAAATTCGGCGCTGGGCTCAGCTCCGTCCGCTTCATCTGTGGTACCCAGGTATTGGGCACTGGGGCAGCGTCCCCTGCTCCAGGAGAGCCTTTCTCAGGGGCTCTGCTCAGACTCCGGTCTCAGAGCTCGCACGCATGCACGATGTGCAGGTACACGTGGCCAGGCAGGAGAAAAAACCCGCTGAGTCCCCGTTAGCCAGAGACCTGGAAATACGCCAGCTCAAACCGTTACCACCCCATTGCAAAGAAACAAACCACCCCTGTGAAATCGGAAAATGAATGTCTTTTTCCCTCCCTTAAGGGTCAAAAATTACAGCAAGCCTGACTTGAAACACCTCTGTCAAACCCTCCCCGGTTTATCCCTGTGTGAGCCCTTTCAGAGCCCCGGCTGCTGAAATGCAAAGAAAACTCAGAGCTGCTCCCCCATGGGTGAAGAGCTTGGAGTCTCCCTACTGCATTTTCGGCGTCCAAACCTGTAACTACATTTTAGGATTGTGTTTGCAAACACTTTCTGAACACGATTAACTTCTCCCATGCACGCAGACCTTTTCTGCATAAAACCTGGCTGTTTCCTCCCCTCGCAGTCAGCATCCAACAGCAGCAGGCAAGCGAGAACTTGTGCTTCCCCAGAGGTGATGCTGGCTCCTCTCTTCTCTTTAGAGCATACACAAAGACCTGGAGGAGAAGATTGCATGTTTCCACCAGCGGGAAGACGCCATCCTCTATGCCAGCTGCTTTGATGCCAACGCCGGTATTTTTGAGGTTCGTAGGGCTTTCCTTGTGTTGAGTGTGGAGGAGGGAGGTGACGGCAGCGTGCCTGCCCTGCCTTCCAGAGGCTCTGATGTGAGCTCTGTGCCGCAGAGAAGATGGCAGTGGCTGGTGGTAGAGAACCCTGTCTTGGTGTCCTTGGACTGGGAGAGCCACGTGGAGCTGTTTAATCAACCCTCACCTCCCCCTTCCCCAGCCAGCTCCAGGTTTTTGGGAGGTCTCTACTCCCATCTCCCGGGAGGTCTCTACTCCCATCTCCCGGGAGGTCTCTACTCCCATCTCCTGGGAGGTCTCTACTCCCCCTTGAAGCATAGGCAGGGGGAAAGGGTGATCCCCCAGGCTCTTGCTAGGGAAGGGGAGGGAAGTTTTCAGCTCAGAAGCCACAGGCAAGAGCTTGGCCTAAGGAAACTGGGGGATCAGGCATCTGGGAAGGAAAGTGGAAAGTTTAATGGTGCCAGGAGAGACGTGGCAGCTGCAACCAGATGCAGACTTGTCTTCCGCACTGAGAGGTGGTGGAAGATCTCAGTGAGCTGGCACCCCAGAGCAAAGGATGATCCTTTCTGTTTGTCATGGCCAGGCCCTGCTGACCCCGGAGGATGCGGTGCTGTCGGATGAGCTGAACCATGCCTCCATCATCGATGGGATCCGCCTGTGCAAGGCTAACAAGTACCGCTACAAGCACATGGACATGCAGGACCTGGAGGCCAAGCTGCAGGATGCACAGGTACGGAGGTCCGCTCCCACCCCAATGTGAGGGTGCTCGCTTAGCTCTGCTACTTGCCCAGTAACCAGCCCCAAAGGGTGAGCTCTGCTTTCTCCAGTGCAATAGGCCTCGTTTTTGCCAATAGGCACAGGTAGACATGGATAGGCAAGTGGGAAAGCAGCTGGTTGCAATGCAACCCCCCCATCTCAGTTGGATATATCCACTCCCTACAGGAGTTGGGCTATGTCCCAGTCTTTTTCGCCAGCCCCTCTCCTCAGGGTGACATCTTCATCCCTGGGGATGCCGCTCTCCCTCCCATAGAAACATCGTCTGCGGCTGGTGGCCACTGACGGTGCCTTCTCCATGGACGGTGACATCGCACCCCTGAAGGAGATCTGCCAGCTGGCCCAGAAGTATGATGCCCTGGTCTTCATTGACGAATGCCACGCTACAGGCTTCCTGGGACCCAATGGCCGGTAAGTGGCTGTTTCACCCCTGTTTCTGCCCCCTGACCCTGACTACCTCTGAAGCAAGGCCAAAGGTGCTGATGACCAATCTGGTTTTGTGGGGGGACTCCTGGAGCCACTGTTTCTTGAAGGCTTCGCACCTCACCTTTGGGGCACCTGAGGGGATTGAAGGGAGGTGCTCCAGCCATGACCCATCCCAATGCGACAGCCGCTTCTCTGTGTGCAAGGGACAGTGTGATCATCTCATCTGCCTCTCCTGGCAAGCAGTTGGACTTCCTGATTTCCAAATCCTTCTCCTCTCAGCTATCACTTTCAAGTGCTTGGGTCTCAGGGGTTTTGTGGAGTTAGCTTTGATTAGTTCCCTCATGGCAACTTTTCCCTCCATCCCTGGAGATCCTCCAGGTGCCAAGCAGTTGAAGTAGACCTTCCTTGGGGCATGGTAGCCATCCTGTGAGTTGAGATAGACCTTGTTGCTCTGTCCCAGTAGGCTCTGTGGTCCCACCAGCTGCAACAACAACTGTTTGACTGCACTGAGGTGTGTAAGTGCACAACAGCTTGGGGAAGAGGAAACAGTTACTGAGCACTTCATGAGTGGTGCTCACTTCAGTGTGAACCTGATGCTGTTGTCTACAACACTTCTGTTTCAAGAGAGCCAACAGCTGGGTGGCCATGCCCGGTCCTGCCTTTTTGGGCTGGAGGACGTGAAGCTGCAGAGCACGTTTGCCACATCTGGTTGGTTCCACTAGCGTAGACCTTGGCACAGGTACTTTAGGCCTGTGTGCGTTTAGGGCACCACATCAACAAAATGCACAGCCCACCTTGGAGGACATCAGCTACTCTACCCAGGCAACTGTTTTTCCCTGGTGTATCATAATGATGTGGTGTGTCAGAGGCGTGTGCAAGGCCTACATCGACAGCTAGTGCTCTGTTAGGGCTCCTGCAGGAAGTTCGAGGGCTCTCCTATCTGTAAGGGTTGAAGAACCCATGCTTTTACCTCGGCAGATCCCAGCTTAGCCTTTCTGCAGGAGAAGGGAAGGTCAGCACTTGGGCCGAACTACTGCAAGGGGCTGTTCTTCCTTTACCAGAAGGGAAGACACCAGAGACCTGCCTGGTGGTGCTTTGTTTCCCTTGAGGCATCAGGTGTAGAGCAGCTTTCCTGGTGTGCCCTGGCACAGCTGATAATGTGACATTCCTCTTTCTACAGGGGTACCGATGAGCTCCTGGGAGTTATGGACAAAGTCACCATCATCAACTCCACCCTGGGAAAAGCTCTTGGAGGAGCTGCAGGTGAAGGCATTTTCCTGTCCAAGGCCCTCCATGCCCTAAAGAGCTCCACAGCATTGGTTTGATGTTTCCTTCCTCTGCCTAATGGTAGAGCAACAAATGCATGTTGTCCACTTCTACTGGTGGCATGTGGCTCAGTTTGGGACCCTGCTGCAGAGTCAAGGGAGGTCCTGCCATGTCCTCCTTCCACTGTCATCTTCCCCATGCATTTGCCTTTGCAGTTGAGATGGAAACTCGTGGTAAAAGGCATCAGCTGAAATTTT